ATAGATCTTAAGGAAAACAAAGATTAAAGACGGATCCATTACATCTGTTGGTGGTTCTGTTGAGTTCGGTTTTTTCCTCTTTCTTTTTTAATCTTTGGTACAAAGGAAAGTTTGTTGGGAGGGGAAGGGACGAAAAATGCAGAAATTAGTGTGGTAATCACACTTTAATAAGGCAAAAAGAGGAGAGAGATATAGTGGCAGATGGCCTGGGGACAAGGGACGGGGTGGTAAAGGGAGGCAGGCAGAGTTGGAGAAGAAAACCGGGAGGGGAAGAAGTGGAGAATATCACTGTAGTAACCATGGACTAGAATTGGGAGCACTGGGCAGTACAGACACCAAGGAGATGGAAGAGTTCTCAAGTGACAGGAGTTGAAGGTCTTGTTTTTCTAGGGTTTTCAGGGGAAACAAACCAACTCCTAACTGCACCCCCTCAGGGTTAGTTCATTAAGTTATCCATATCATCTCAAAGTTATCAGTAAAATGTCAAAGTCCTCATCCCAAAGTTGTGAGCACCTTTGTGATGTTCTGCTGATTGGGATTTGTGGAGGTCTGGATTTTGTCTGGAATCTGCGTATCTCAGGACCAGAATCTTGAGGAGTAGCACTGAGATGGTTTCTCCTAATTCAGCACATATTACCAGGATGTGAATTTTAGTTAATATGATACAATTTGTAAATTATGCTCCTGTGATCTTTAGAACAGTTTGTACATGACTTCCAGGTTCCCATTTGCCATCTTCTTTCCTGCTCTGGCTACTTATAATTTTATATATTATACTGACTAAAAGAGGAGGGAGTGCTCAAGGGGACCACAACAAGATAGATTTTTAACAATGAGTATGCATGTGTGTACTTGCACACACACAATATATATATACACATACTCTTCCCCAAAACCTTTCTAGCTTGTTAGGGTCTGAGAAACCACTACATGATGACGGATCAGAGTGGAAATTTATTGCAGGACTGTTATTATTATAATAGATGTTTATTTAATTAAAGGGTATGGAGAGTCCTCATCTATCCTATAGTACTGTCTCCTGATCCTGATGTGAATAATAAGATAAGGGGGATGAAGATGCTGTTTTCCTCAAGCTCAGTCCCCTTGGCTGGTCATGCCCCATGATGGCCAAAGCAAAGTTACTTAAAAAGTCTCCCATTTAAATGTCTCCCTAAAGGGCAGGTAATCCCAATACCACAGCACTTCCCAGACTACCTGCTCTGCTTCCATCCCAGCTCCTACGGCCATCGTAAAGGGAGAAACCCTTGTGGAAAAGGGGCACACCATCCTGACTGACACTGACCGCTGACCAGCACCACTTGCAGGGAAGGGAAGCCAACCTAGCCGTAGCAGACTAGGCCCTCTGACAAAGAGACATAAAGTAACAGGTACCAAGTGGGTCAAACCACCTCAGTCACCACCTCCTCACAGGCCCTCATGGGAGAGAGCCCAGGGCCCTACACCCAAGAGCCCAGATCACCAGCCCTGCTTCCAGCTTGGACCCTGCAGTCATCATCAAGGTGAGCAATCCTTATAGAGGAAGGCTCATCTGTCCCCTTCCCCAATACCAACTGCTGGCCAACCAACCCAAGATTAATCTTGGGAACAGCAGCATGCACAGACCACTGGCCTGATTTCAGTTTGGCCTCCAAGTCACAGTCAACCCTCGTGAAGATGTGGCCCCTAGTGTTGCAGCCCCAGTCTCCTGAGCAACCACAGAATCTGAAGACCCAAAAAAGAAGTTTCTCACCACCAAAATCCTTAGCATTCTCAAATGGTTCAACATTAGAAACAGATATGGTTTTATTAAAGGAAATGACACACAAAAAAGATGAATTACCATCTGCTATGCCAACTGTACCCTGCACTGGGAATTTCCGTCTGAGGCCAAAACCTTCTATAGGGTTAAAGCACACAATGAGAGCAGGGTCTGCCTTGCTTTTCTATTTGTATCACTAGATCTTAGCACAATGCTTCCTACATATTAACTGCTCAATAAATGCCTTTTCTTTCATTCATTCATCCATTTACTCATTCAAAATTAGTGTAATACACAAAGATAACATTGCCCTCCTGAGGAAAAGTCCAGCTATTGCTTCTGATACTAGCCTAGCTCCCTGTCCCTAGATGATTTCTCAGCTTCTCCAGCTCAGACATTTCACTGACCAGGTCTCTACTCATTCTTCTTATCTCCCATCTTTATATTCCTTATATATTATGTGTTATGTATATATATGTGTGTGTATACATATATGTGTGTTATGAATTATATATAAAATTTACATCTGCCCATTTGATTTACCCCCCTTCACTTAAAAGTCACAGCCCCTATCTTCCCGGGTCCAGACCTCTAACCTTGGCCTTGCCTTACTTCCCTTTGGATCAAATCCCCCTGCCATCTAACTCCAGCTGATCTGACCACTGACCCAAGTCTTGCATTAGCACATCAACTCTAACTCCTGCCTCCAGCCTTAACCCAGTATCACCATCAGTCAATCCTCCCAGCCCACACTTGGGCCCATCAGGCTAGTCCCAGAGCTTACCTGAAGACTACCCAGACCCATCCCAAGAAAAGCCTGTCATGATTCCTTGGTTTTTCCAGGATTTGGCGTGAAGAGTTTTGTTTGCCATCGTGCAAAGTCTGACACTGGCTCCCTCGTGTGGTAGGCACTAAGATCATCTACTTTTTATTCCAGATGCTAAAGATGTAGTTATGGATGGTGGAGAGAGACCAACCTAACAGTATTAGATAGAACTGTGTATCAGTATGTAAGGACATGTTTTCCCACTCGATCAGTTGCTGCCTTTTCTGAATGAGTTCCAACCAACAGGAGGCACTTGACCCTCTTATCTGACATGACCTCCTTCCATTCATGTTTTTCAGGCTCTATCCTTGTACAGACACTTTCTTTGGCTGGTTATATTCTCCAAATTCCTAAATATTGATAACCTGTCCTTATTTTTAAGATCTAAATTGTCTTTAATATTTATTTAGCATTTTATTTTTTCTCCAATTACTAGTAAAAATAATTTTTAACATTTGTTTTTAAAATTTTTTAGCTCCAAATTCTCCCTTTCCCTTCTTCCCCTCTCTCCTTCTTGAAAAGGCAAGCAATTTGATATAGGTTATACATGTGCAGTTATGTAAAACATATTTCCACATTAGTCATGTTGTGAAAGAAAAAAAAATAAGAAAAAGTAAAAAATAAAATAAAATAAAAAGGATGTTTCAATCTGCATTCAGACTCCATCAGTTCTTTCTCTGGAGGTAGATAACATTTTTTATCATAAGTCCAGGGCACAGCCAAGATGGTGGAGTCAAAGCAGTGACTTGCTTGAGCTCTCCCCCAAACCCCTCCAAATACCTGTAAAAAATGGCTCTAAACAGATTCTAAAGCAGCATAAGTCCTTCAGAGTTATCTTGGATCATTGTATTGCTGGTAATAGCTAAATCATTCACAGCTGATCATTGTACAATATTGCTGTTATTGTGGACAATGTTCCCCTGCTTATGCTCATTTCACTTTGCATCAGTTCATGTAAATCCAGGTTTTTAAGATCTAAATCTAATGGTCTTGTGTCCTTTCACAGGAATGAATTTAAGCATTCCTTCTATGGCATGGTTTCAGGGAATATTTTTCCTGATATTGTTCCTTGTTAAATCCCTTATCTTCCTTGAAGTCCAGCTTAGGTGACCTTGCCTCTGAAAGTTCCAAGGTGCCCCTTGATACCACAGCCCCACAAATGGTTGCCAAGTAGCCTCTGCTTAAAGGCCTTTAAACCCCAAAAGTAAACTAGCCTTGCTTTCACACTGCAATAGCCTGCCTGAATACAACAGTAAACCAAAAATAAAGAGATACTTGGGACAAACAAATCCAAGTATTAGCCTGGACAGAATCTGAAGCCGGGACCAAAATAGAACTCAGAGGGCAGCATGTGATTGCTCACTCCCCTGTCCCGGAGACCCAGCCCTGTCAGGAGCCGGTAGCAGCTGCTACTAAAAATAGAAGGGAAGAAGAAGCAGCCCCACAGTCTGAGCCACACCACGGAGCAATCCCCTCCGTACTGGTGGGCACCCAGAGGTGTCATGAAGTCCCTGAGGTTTGCAAGTGCAGAAGCCCTGGTGTCCAATGCCCAGGTGACCAGGGAGAGTCTGCAAAATGTGGCGTATAACCTCTACCCCCTCCTCTTTAAAGCCAGCTATTTGCTGGAACAAGGAGAAGTGATTCACAACCTGTTGGAAAACTGGCCACTAGCAGAATTCAACCTTGGAAACCTGTTGGGGCCAACAGCAGATTACCCAGAAGACCTCAGCACCAGGGCCTGCAAGATCTGCCTGGAAGCCTGTCTGGTGGGGCTCAAAGACTATGTGCTGAATGACTCCCCAACTTACACCAAGAGGCTGAGAGCAGCCAATCTCATGGGCATCCAAGATGTGGAAGTTCAGCTGTGCAAATGCCAGACGTCTCTGGGGAGGTGGGGCCGGACCGGCCTCCTAGCCAGACTCTGCTTTGATCTGCTGGTAGAGCTGCAGAGGAGACCATTCAACCCAAGCATCTTGGACATCAGCATCGATGTTTTCATCAACTTCTTTGTCACAGAGGGCAACTATGAATGTGCGTTGCAGGCCCTGATGGTGAGATGCCACTGCCCTCTCAAGGTGCGCTGCGTGGCCTTCCGGGCTGACAGCCTCGGCCTGAAGAAGCTCTTCTACATGCTGCGCCTGGTGGAGCCTGATTCTCTGGAGAAGCTGGAGATCGTCCATAACGTGCACATGGAGATGGAGCACCTGCAGGTGTTACTCAACCACTTGGACTTCCCCCGGCTGGTCTCACTCACACTGCCCGCGAGAGCCTTCAACGTGCGCCGGCTCCAGGGAGAAGATGAGTCGATCCTCACCACCATTGGGGAGAAGCTGAGCCGCATGTCCCAGCTCAGGGAGCTCAGCCTGGCCTTTTCCATACTGACAGGGAGAACTCGGAAGCTACTCAGGTGAGATACTGATCCTGGCAGGTTCTATAACCTATGGTCAGGTTATAGGAAAATTACTAGAAATTGGCAATTTAAAAGGTAATGAATGGGAGAGACCACTAATCAACATGAGCATTTCCTAGTCAAGCAGCTTGATTCAAGTATCAGAATGTCCCATGCAGATATAAGGCAGGGGAGATGGGGTAGAAATAAAGGGTAGTTTGGGTATTGTGGTACATTTTAGCTCAAAGGCAAATCAGTGTATCCCAGCATGAAGAAAGCCATCTAGTCCTGGAGAATAGGAGCTTTTGTTTCTATCAGGAAATTGTCCAGATAATATTACTGGATGTGGGTATTAAGGCCTAGGTGGTTTCTCTTTGGCATCTATATCTTTTTTTTTTTTAATATCTTCAAGCTTTTGGGTCGAGTTCATATTTTCATAGTTTTGAGTCAGATACATTCCAACCACATTGCCAAGTATAAATCTAAGCAAAAACTGGATCATGGTAATGAAGGCAGAGGCAATAACAGCTGAAGCAACAGGTTGGAGGAATAAGCTCCCTCCCTCTGAGGGAAGGGATGGCAAAAGTGGTTAAGAGGTCACCCAGGGTAAACAGAGGCCATGGTGGAGATGCAGTGATTTCCTTTGGAATCCTTGGCCAAGTGACATCACTGGGCACTCATTAGTCTGCTGTTCAGGCAGTCACACTCATAGCCTCTCAGACCCCGAGCAAGTGGAAAATGTCCCATTTTCCAACATAGCAGAAAATGGGCTGAGAAAAGTATTGTGGTAGGCTGGCAAATCTCAGGTGAGCTTGTAAATGAACAATTCTGGGCTACTTCCACCCCTTGAGCTAGTGAGTTATGACCTGCTGCTCTAATCCATTATATGATAATTTTTGAGGTGCATTCTTTGCTAGGTATTACAAATCCTTGCTAAGAGTTTTGCCTCAATCAGTGAATCAATCAATACAATCAATTAAGTACAATCAATCCTCAACATCTGCCTGAACTTGTGTGATTTTACCAGTAACCTCATTTTCACTTTGAGCAACCCATGCACATTCTTGGCTATATGCAATAAAGGAAAAAATGAGAGGTCAATAGCCGCAAGTTTGTGGAGCAGCTGATGTCCTACTAGGTGCTTCACTGGTCTTGCTCACCCTACCATTGTAAAGAGCTCCTTATATATTTGTTGCATGTTTCCATCGTTTGCCTTAAAAACTCAGTTTTGTGTTGCAATTATGCCCTCCAAAGTGTAGCGCAAGTCCTTTGGACTCTAAGCTAAGTGTGGTGTTAATGAATCAAGAATTCTTACAGTTCTCACATTGCCATCTGATACAGTGGAAGGTAATATTCAGGTTTAAAAATGTTATAGTTTGAAGAATCAAGATCTTTAATTGAGATGTTAGCACAAAAGGTCACAGAATTCTAAGGAATTGGTAGTGGGAAAAAATGTTTGATATGTTACCAATTTTATTTTGTGCAAAAAATGGTTTTTTTTTTTGAATGGACCAGCAGGGGCAGCTAGGTGGCGCAGTGGATAGAGCACCAGCCCTGAAGTCAGGAGGACCTGAGTTCAAATCCGGCCTCAGACCAAACACTTGACACTTACTAGCTATGTGACCCTGGGCAAGTCACTTAACCTCAATTGCCCAAAAAATAAATAAACAAACAAACAAACAAATAAATAGATGAATGAATGAATAAATAAATAAATGAGTGAATGAATGAATGAATGAATGAATGAATAAGCAAGCAAATAGACAAATAAATAAAGTGGACCATCAAATAGTGTTAAAGTTGTATGTTGCATTTTATGGGTTATTTCATAGTTATTGCACTGGGGAAATTATGCATTATTAGGATTGATTTGTTATAAAGAATTGTATGCAAGAAAGTGTATTTTCAGCAATCTCCAATGAAAGATTGTAGCTTTTGGTGGTCAAGGGAAAATAACACCTTATTATCTATAGGTTCAATGTATCAACATTTGTGTTTTTTACTTTTGTGTCATTTTCTAGGAACATTACCCCTGTGACAGATGAGAATTGACTATATGCGTTATGCGCCAGGCACTGTTATCCACTAGTTATACAAACGCAATGAATAAAACAAAGTTAGTTAAATACAAGATGGTTTTGGAAGGACTGCAATATCAGTTGGGAGGATCAGGAAAGACTTCATGCAACAGGTGATGTCTTAACTGCATCTTAAAACCAGAGAGGGATTCTGTGAGGTCCAGATGAAGAGTGTATGCATTCCAGGCAAGGGGGAGGACCCGTCCTAAGGCAGGGAGACAAAAATGGAGAGTTTTATTATGTGACTAACAAAGAGAAGACTGGCTTGGCTCAGTTAAGGAGTGAGGGGGAATGAGTACTGTCCAATAAAATGAAGATGACAGGTTGGAGCTTTAAAATATGAAAAGAGAAGCTTATGTTTTATCCTAAAGGCAGTAGGGAGCCAATGGAGTTTATTTAGTGGAAGAGAATGACATGTTCAGATGTATACCTTAGAAAAATCACTTTCACAGAGCTGGAGAAGGAAATGGCAAACCATTCCAGCATCTCTACCAAGAAAACCCCAATTGGGGTCACGAGGAGCCAGACAGGACTGAAAATACAGAACAACAACAAAAGCAGCATGTAGGAGGGACTGGAGTAGTGAATGAGATGCTTGAGTCAGGTCAACCAATTAAGAGACTCTTACAATTACCTAGGAAAGAGGTGATGAGGCCCTGAACTAAATTTGCAGCCATATGAATAGAAACAGCAAAATTTAGCAATTAATTGGATAAAGGGAGCAAGATAGTTAAGATTTCAGGATAATGCCGAGGTTATGAACCTGGGAGAATGAAAGGTGGCACCTTCAACAGAAATCAAAAGTTTGAAAGGGAGAAGGGTGTGGGGAGAAAGATCATAAGTTCAGTTTTGGACATATTCAAGTTGAGATGTCTCCAGCAAACCCTCAGGTTTCTGCTATCAGTTGAAATATGGTGTCAGATATTCAGTAGCAATGGCTGAATAATCTAGAACCTGAGGCTTATGTACACTGGATGTTTGGACATTAACATGAGATAGATAATAAACATATGAATTATTGTTGTTCAGTCACTCAGTCCTGTCCAACTCTTCATGACCCTGTAGAACGTGGCACACCAATAATGTCCTTTGGGTTTTCTTGGCAAAGATACTGGACTGGTTTGCCATTTCCTTCTCCAGTGGATTAAGGCCAACAGAGGTTAAGTGACTTGCACAGGGTCACACAGTAAGTGTCTGAGGCCATATTTGAACTTAGGTCTTTCTGACTCCAGACCCAATGCTATATCCACTGAGCCACCTAGCTGCCTCGAAACATATGAACACAAGATGATTATTTTTTTAAATTACCAAAATCAACAGGAGTTAGCACATAGAGTAAATTTTTTAAAATATTGATAAACAGAAGAACATTGAACTTGTAATCAGAACACCTAGCTCTTCTACCCATGAGACACTGGAAAAATCACTTCTCTCCTGACTCCAGTTTCATTATGTATAAAATGAAACAGTTTAACTAGACAACCCCCACACCATCCCCTCCAAGATCCCTTCTAGCTTCAACATACTGTGTCTCTATAAACTGAACTCTATTTTCAATCTCTGAAGCTAATGAGTTTGAAAATATATTTTCTCTTTTTTTATACATTTTATTTATTGTTAAATATTTCCCAATTACATGTAAACAAATGTTAACATTCACTTTTTAAAAATTTTGAGTTCCAAATTCTCTCCCACCCTCTCACCCCTTTCCCCTCATTGAGAAGGCAAGCAATTCTATATCAATTATACATGAGAAATCATGCAAAACAAATCTCTGTATTAGCCATGTTGCAAAAGAAAACAGACCAAAAAAAAGTAAAAAAGTATGCTTCAATCTGCATTTAAATTTCATCAGTTTTCTCTCTGGAGGTAAGTAGCATTTTTCATCATAAGAATTTGGAGTTGTCCTGGACCACTGCCTTTTTTGGGATAGCTAAGTCTTTCACAGTTGATCATCCTCACAATATTGCTGTTACTGTGTACAATGTTCTCCTGTTTCTGCTCATGTCACTTTATATCAGTTCATGTAATACACATTCAATTTGGTATGGAAATCTGTCTTACTCTACAGGAAAATAGGGAGAGAAGGGGATAAGAGAGCAGGGGGATGATAGAGAGGAGGGCAGATTGGGAAAGGGGGTAATCAGAAGCAAATACTTCTGAGGAGGGTCAGGGTCAAAAGAAAGAATAGAATAAATGGGAGGGCAGGATAGGATTAAGAGAAATAGTTAGTTTTTCACAACATGTCTACTATGGAAGTGTTTTGCATAACTGCACATGTATAACCTATATTGAGTTGCTTGCCTTTTCAATGAGGGTAGGTGGGGAGAGAGGAAGGGAGAAAATTTGGAACCCAAAGTTTTAAAAACACATGTTTAAAAAAAAGTTTTCACATGCAACTGGGAAATAAGAAATATAGGAAATTGGGTACAGAAGTCTATCCTGCTCTACAGGAAAATAGAAGGGGAAGGGGATAAGAGAAAAGGGGAGAGAGATAGAAGAGAGGGCAGACTAGAGGAAGGGGTATTCAGAATGCATGCCATCTTGGGGTGGGGGGAGTGGAGATATGGGGTGAAAATTTGGAACTCAAAATCTTGTGGAAGTAAATGTTGAAAACTAAAAATAAATGAATTTATGTATCAGTTCCTGTAAGCCTTCCCAGGTGAAGATGTATAGTCTCAAAGATGTATTCAACCTGATTGAGTCATTGATAGTCATGGCATGATTCTCTTTCACAAATTCTATCATTCTCCTGACAGAATTCGGACAGACTTCACAGTGTTAGCAATGCTCACAAACACTTTCAAAATAAATAATAATAACTATGGTAAGACCTGATAGCTGACTAGATGGTTTTTTTTCCTCATCAAATAAGCCTATTGGGCAGTTATCCTCGTTATTCCTTTTCCTTGACAAGTCACAGTTTGTATTAGACTACCTTTCATGGTGTGTTCTCATACTCTAAACTGACATTTTTTCAATGACCATGCACATATTTCTCTTACATATTTTAGACATTACACACTGCTCCCAGCAATGCATTCGGCTTGGTTTCCTAATCTGAAAAACACCATTTTTAGGCAAAAGAGAGTCTTTAAAGCACTCATCAATCCAGAGCTAAAAGGAGTCTTGGAAACCACCTGGTTTGACCCCTTTAATTTTTCAGATGAGAAAACTGAAGTCCAAAGAGATTGACTAACTGACCAATGCCTATGATTACTATATAGGAGTATACACATTCTGCACCAGTGATCCCTTCTCCCTCCCACACAACCCCCCTAAATGCTAAGTGTTATCAACAGACTATCCCTTTCCTTAATCGTACAGATCCAGACACCGAAAGGAAGGCCGGATATGGTCAGGGAAATTATTTGAAAAGGATAATACAGTGAAAGGAAATAAAATGTCATATGATCTTAGCACATTTCTGGTGGTTTGTATAGTGAAAAGAATGAAAATATACCTCTCCGTCTCTTGGCATTATGAATTTTTTTCTTTCTTTTCCCTTTTAGGGCAAAATTTGGAATCACTAGAATATGTAACTCACATAGAGAGTTCCTCTGCCTGAGAAACCAGATATTTCTCTGACTCCTCTGCTAAGGCCATGGATTTCTCTCTTTCATTTAACATGTGTTGGGTTTTAAATGATGTGTCATTCTGACACAATGGGCCAAAGGCTAACAGCTCAAACGTTCCTTCTCAGAATTGCTCCAAAAGATGTCATCCTCACCCAACACTCCTCTGCATATAGATAAATCCTGATTGCCAAAGGCATGGTCTAAAATTAACCAACAAAGAGATATATTGAGCACTGTGTACATTCTTGACCTCTGTGCTCATTTCAAACCAGCCCCCTTACGGTTAACATTACTAGACATTATTAAAAAAAAAAAAAGGTTTTCTCCACTCAGGTGGACTCTGTTGTGGTATGGAGGTAATTCTGGGTCCTCAAAGGCTGTTGCAGGTCCCACCCAGCTAAAAAGGCTTCAAGTTTGGGTCTTGGGACAGAATATGTGTCTGATGTGTGCACATTAGTCTAATTCATAGAGAACACAAGCTCCTGACCAGAAAAT